AAAACATTGGCAGAAAGTTCAAATTAAAGCAAACTTCAGTAATCAGCAAGAATGACAATATCCAGGATAACTAACATAGGTATATCAAGAAAGTTAAAAAACTGTCACTTTAACTGCTTGGTAATACAAAAGTCTTAGTATATATTACCATACCTGTGCATAGAAGAATGCTTTCCATGGGTCAGTCTCATACTGGCTTGTTGCCATAGTAACCACATTGTGATTGTTAAATCGTTGTTCAACTTCTATCGCTGTCAATGTTGATGGGACTGTAAATTCCAATATTTCACTGAAAGAGATGGAATATACTAAGAACAGACTAACTTAATGTAAGCAAAAATTATCCTAATTATACTGTAAAAGGATTAGTTATTCACTGGGTTTTAATTTTGCTTATTTCGCTGAATGGAAAATGTGCTATTTAAAATCAAAAACCAGTGAATATGTAAAATTTAGCATAGAACACATTATCTAAATGATAAAACTGTGAATTAAAATCCCACTGAATATGCCTGAAATGCTAAATCAGTGAAATTTAAACCCAGCGAAAATTAGTCATTTTACAGTAATAAATGCAACGCTATGATATAAAACATCCACCTAAATAAATGCAACGCTATGATATAAAACATCCACCTAAATAAATGCAATGCTATGATATAAAACATCCACCTAAATAAATGCAACGCTATGATATAAAACATCCACCTAAATAAATGCAACGCTATGATATAAAACATCCACCTTGCCGAACATCGCAGGCAGTTCAGGAGTGATAGAATTTTCAGCATTTCAAGATCAAAGATGAACTATATTACAAAATCAATATTTAATGTAAAGAATTTTCCATTAGGATTAGTACACCAGACTCTTGGGTTATGTCCTGTATCGCCATTAGCCCCTCCCCTCAACCGGAATTTATAGTATCATTATTTTACTCATGTTTACATCTGGCTGCATCTCAGTGAACTTCAAACATTACATACTTACTTGGTTAGTTGTATTTAGTGTGTACCCAAAGCAGAATTAAAACATCAGTGCATGAAATATTTATTTTAGTGAAGACAATGAATAACAAGGAATGGTGCAATGTTTCAGGTATCAATCAGTATAACTTGCGAATGCAGCAACTCTAAGTTAGGCCAGACTTTTATTATCCCTTGTTTTGCGAACCCGCCGAATAAACAGGAGCCGAAAATGAAATAAAAATAAAATTTTATTTCAGCGTAATTTCTCTCGCCCACCAACTTGTGAGTGGAAAAAATTGCTAAAAAAATTTATTTTTATCTTCCTTTTTTTTCTGCCCGCTGCCTTACAAATCCAAGTTGCATTTTCATGGGAGTATCATGATCAAAGTACTGAAGTCTCGCGCAGATCTATACTTTATGCGCGTTGGTTGACAGCGAATCTCAGCGTGCTGCTTGAGACTACTAGGCAAACATGGCGGCATGGTTTGTGGTGACACGCCGTGAATCTCGTAAAAAAAACAGAAATCCCTCATTAATGCTGAAAATTGGTGACATTGCCAACCAGGTTATACACGGAATGAAATTTTTATTTCATTTCTTCTCTCTGATCAATAATCTCACATACAATTCTTTGAGAATCGCACAAATCTAATGGAAAAAAAGAATTAATTTTATTTTTTTCCGCCCTCCTCAAAAAAATTGACTTATAAAAACTTGAGAAACAAGGAATAAAAAAAGTCTGGCCTTACTCAAAATTTAAAAACAAAACAACTATAATTACAATTATTTTCATAACATGGTGAACATAATAATGTAAAACATGTACATTTAGTATTATAACTATTTAATAAATGCTCCCTCACCTTGCAGAATTTGCAATCCATTTTCCTTCAAATGCCTCAGGTGTTAGTGTAAAACTATTTTTCATTTTTATTGTTTCCATGGCAACACAATCACCATCATCTATACTCAGTAAATTTGCTGTATTGATTTCCTTTTCTCTACATACAAGTGTTTCATTTTCTTGAACTTTTTCAGTAAACTGCTGCCTTTCTCTTAGTTTTATCTCCTTCCACTTTGCTTGGCCTTCAGTTCATAGAATACAATGGATACAAAATATGAGGAGAAATTGGCATTTATGGATCATGTATATCACTAAATTTTGACAACTGTCAAAAAAAGGTGTATAATAATCAGGTTATCAAAAAGAATACTATGAGGTTATTATGAGAATACTTCAAAGTATGCACGAAGACAGTACAGCTGGAGTATCAACGAGCAGCATTGGAATTCCTAATATGGTAGGATGAAAATACCCTGTAAAATACCGCAAAATTACGGCACGCTGTAACTTATAGCATTGCGGTGACAGATGTATAATAATACCATGTACGTACACACACACAGTATTTTTTATAATATTTAATACCATCAAGACATCTGTATTGATTTTGGCAGCAATATAATAATTTAATTCTTACCAAATAAAACAGAGAGGGAGCCAAAACATTGTATATGGTGTAAAGTATTGCATGGTTTTTCATCATCTTCTTTAACAGTACAAAGGGAAGAATTTATTATTTCTTTGGCCTGTAAAAAAAATGAATACAATGTTTCAATGCTGGGAATATAAATGCTGTCACTGCCAAAGAACAACATTGCCTGTTGATGCGCTGCCTGGTTTGTTATGTGAGTCTGGTATTAGTTATCTGATAGGAACTGGTTGGGTCAATTTAACTTCAAAACTCAAGGACACATAGAATAATAATAGAAGATGGTCTTACTTTTCAATATATTTTATCTAATCTTACAAACTGTCATTGTTAAAATTGCAAAATTATAAAAAAAAACTTTCTTACACGTCAGACAACAGCTGCTAATGAGGTATCATGTGTGGGTAAAGCTAGATTTATTGCCCTGGTCCTTCCATCCAGTTCTTATACATTCACTCTAGCCAATTATACTGCTGAAGTTTTATAGTTATTCAATCGTCTCATTCATTCTGAGGGGTGATTTAAATGTTGACTGTTTTCAGTCTAAAGTAACCCTATTCTATTTAGTCAGACGTACTCCCATCAAAAGGCTTTGATCTAACCAGTTGCAATCTTGTAACTGTCTCCAGACACACACAGCAAAACAGTCAGCAACTTAACTGGCAATGCTGTTGTTTCAATTTACAAAACATTATGGCAGTAACAAAAAAAAGGATAACTATTGTACACAATGAGAAAAAACACATAATATATATTATCTAAATATGACGCTTAGTTTATTTTAGAAGTAATTCATTTCCATGGTAAGCTACTATTCATAATTATTTGTAATTACCAATGTTGCAACTATTATACACTGAATATACTGTAAAAATATGTCTTTTTCACGAGCATGTCTTTTTAGCAAATTTAGCGAGAGAACTGATTCGCTAATTCAAGATGTCGCTAATGACTTTATTATAAATTCAAAATGGCCAAGGCTTGGAGATTTGTATACAGTAATCCGGAACATAAAAATCTGCGGCACTTCCTAATTACACTTGACAGTTTTGCTTTGTTTTTATGGACGTGATAACTGCGCATTTGTTTTGGCACGCGACAGACAAGTATTGTGAAAACAGGAAATCAACAATGACAAGAGAGATTTGCTAAATCAACATTTAGCTATTACGTCATTTTACTACAATTTGCTAAAATTGCATGTCGCTTTTTCAACATGTTTTACAGTAATAAAAATGTATAGCAATTATGATAAATTGCCAGTGTAAGTCGTATACAAACCTTATTGATGTCCTCGTGCAGTAGTCTGTAATACATACTAGCACGGTCTCCAACTTCTACATTGTTCTCTACTTCTACAAACAAAACAATCAACATTTGATGTCATCATATATAATACAACATTTCATAATAAATTTTATAATGAAATAAAATGCATTGTTACAGCGGTTCAGACAGTCAGTAACCAAGATAGCCAGTGCAAAGATGCAAAATACTTTGGTGTTCGTTTTGGTGTTCGTTTTGGTGGACTTAACGACAAGCATCCTGTCTGAGATTAACTATTTCTTAGTGGTGGTCAACATGATATATGGTATTCAATAACTATTCTTCCTGTCTTATGTATCTGATTTTTGTGATTGTATTATAAATTACAGTGGGTGCAAAGTTGCAAAAAGATGTGTATCCCTCACTCAGTAAGTCAATGGTACATACAGAAAGTCTCAGAAGTATTAGGGCAGCCAATTTGCAAACTCGCTAGCGAATTGGCTAACTGCTTGGGTTTTGACTAAACAGTTGGCTTTCGAATCTGGCTGGCACCGACTCGTGATCGCGTCCACTCTGGGTAAGTCTATATTGCATTAGAGAACATAGTATGTTTTTGCGTAGCCTGGTACATGTCTGGATTCCCCTAAATGATTTGATTTGCAAGGCGTGATAATGTGAAAGTTTCCCTGGTCAGCCTGAGAATGGCCAGAGTCAGCTGGCGTACAAGTGATAATATGATAAATGCGATTAATCCACTGATATTTTACTATATGGGGGTAGCCATCTTGAACACTGATGGAAACTAAATAAAGGGAGAAGTTGAGAAACAGTTTCCTATAAATCAGTGAGAAAATAAATTCAAACAATTCGTTGGGGTAACATTAAACCAACCACTAATACAATTCAACTTCATTCATTGTTTTTGCCTGGAAAATCCATTGTATACGAACACCTCATTACACGAAGAAAATAGAACCCTGTTCCCCGGTATATTTGAAAGTGAAATTGCCATCCAACTAAAGTATGACGACCTTCCCCTACTGTTATATAGATTCACCCAGAGTGGCCACAGGACGGCGCCAGTGAGATTCGAAAGCCAACCGTCCAGTAAAAACCAAAGCAGTTAGCCAATTCGCTAGCGAGTTTACAAATTGGCCGTTCCAATATTTCTGAGACTTGCTGTAGAAAATATAAACTGATTTGAATCGCATGATCTGTTCTGTCATTTTTAGTAATTTGTAAAACATGCGAGAACTGATAGTGTAAAAGGAATCTGCTTGATACCATGTTGTATGTTACCTTTCTACAGAATGATCTATATTGTGGGCGTGTCAAAGGAATAACACTGTCAAGTCCAGATAGGGCAAAAACCGCAGCGTTTTGCAAAGTTGCAAGCTGTCAAACTATTTGACTATTCAAATAACTTGCTTCTCACCTATACAATGCTCCAAGAGTTTGCCCAGCATATCTTGACATTCTGCAGGTCGTTTAAAGAATAATTTAGTGGTGGCAGTTATTAAATGCAACTTCACCAGGTTGCTGTGTTCTTCACTGATGTTGTCAATCATGTCTTCCAGTATATATGGACTATCAGATAAAGACTAAAAGGAAAATTAAAAATATCAGTTAATTAATTAATCTTGTTGTCATTTATCAGTGGGTTGAATATTACAAGAAGAAGAAATTGGAAACAAAAAATGCATGATAGTAATCAAAATAACGTACAATTTGTTGTCCATGGGAAAAGTGCTGAATAAAGGTAACCTGCATCTCATGAATGACCACCACTACAATATAAGTTTTAACTTTAAGAATTAAAATTAAATAGACCCATTGTGGAAGTAATCTGAGTTCTTGCAACTTTAAAAACTATATGGTCACAAGGTATCAAGAAAAACTGGTGATTGTATCAAGACGCCCTCAATGGCAACTAGAATACACTATCATGTCCAACACCGAGGGCGTCATGCACTTTCTTTAAAAAAGTCTAATAATTAATGTACAGTATTTAATAAAATTAGAATCCCAGGCTTATTTTCTTTTCATAGCAATTTTTTCTGCTTAATTTTATTAATTAGAACCCAGGAAAATACATTGTTTAATAAAATACATCTGTGAAAATAAATACAAATATTATCACGAAAATGGGCAGATCAGCTAACACACGCAGGGTTTTCTCAGAAAATGCTCAGTAGGATGTAAAATTGTATGGTATACCACACAGATTAAGAAATGTAAGAGTCTAAACATGTCATTTAGAATATAAATATGACTGAATTAGCTGCTTGTCACCTTTTAGAGGAAACACTACAATATAATTATAATTACTACCTGTCCATAGTGTCCTATTAACCATATCATAGCTGCTTTACCGTTACTATTGTCCAATATAGACACACATTCTGGGATTTGCTCCATCACATCACTGATGAAACACGCATTTCGTTCATATAGAAATAAACCTGAAAACAAAAATATTGACGAAAATAGTATTGCAAGTGTATATATATATATAATGGATTTGGCTACAAATCCATCTTCTTTGTATTCAATTCGCATGAAGACTTATAAGTACTTGTGAGTTGATATATCCTAGTTACATACCTTGTAGTGTTATATGTACTTGTGAGTTGATATATCCTAGTTACATACCTTGTAGTGTTATATGTACTTGTGAGTTGATATATCCTAGTTACATACCTTGTAGTGTTATATGTACTTGTGAAGTGATATATCCTAGTTACATCTCTTGTAGTGTTATAAGTACTTGTGAAGTGATATATCCTAGTTACATACATTGTAGTGCTATAAGTACTTGTGAAGTGATATATCCTAGTTACATCTCTTGTAGTGTTATAAGTACTTGTGAAGTGATATATCCTAGTTACATACATTGTAGTGCTATAAGTACTTGTGAAGTGATATATCCTAGTTATATACCTTGTAGTGTTATGAGTACTTGTGAAGTGATATATCCTAGTTACATATCTTGTAGTGGTATAAGTACTTGTGAAGTGATATATCCTAGTTACATACCTTGTAGTGTTATAAGTACTTGTGAAGTGATATATCCTAGTTACATATCTTGTAGTGTTATAAGTACTTGTGAAGTGATATATCCTAGTTACATACCTTGTAGTGTTATAAGTACTTGTGAAGTGATATATCCTAACTGCAGTGACAATAAATGAATCAAAGTCTTCATACATAATTGTGAACAGAGTGGTTTATATTTGACAATGTCACCCAATGCTGTGATGGACTTTTCAGCTAAACTCACAGATACATCTGTACAATACGCACTGCAAAAATAATAATCAGGTAGCAATTATCAATTATAAATTAATAAAATTTATTATATTTGCTCTATTAGTACCGGTAGTGTTCATACTTTCATACAAAGCTGTGTCCATCAAGTCATATTTTAATAATTCAGTACACAATTAATACAACTGTCCAGAATTCAACATTAATGTTGCTCTCTGTTGAACATTTTCATTAATATTTATAGAAAAACATTTCAAGCAAAGGCTTTTTTTTCACTGACCTAAGTTCATTGACAATATTTTGTACATTATCTTCACAGCAGACTAATGATAACAACTCTATCTTCTTATGCTTCAGGTATGAGGGATCATTGTATCTGCAAATAAGCAAAATGTATTCATTAGCTTTGTTATATTATTAACTGATCAACTTTGATATTACTTGGCAATCAACTTTGTTTTAACACTAGACTACAAACGTTGCTGTAACTTATATGTAAATGTTGTTACCTTGTTATCAACAAATAATTATCTTTTCTGCTCTGCATAGAGCCAATCAGCCAATTTGACAATAACCGATCATCTATCAGCCTATTTGACAATAACCAATCATCTATCAGTCTGTTTAACAATAACCAATCATCTATCAGCCTATTTGACAATAACCAATCACCTATCAGCCTATTTAACAATAACCAATCATCTATCAGCCTATTTGACAATAACCAATCATCTATCAGCCTATTTGACAGTAACCAATCATCTATCAGCCTATTTAACAATAACCAATCATCTATTAGCCTATTTGACAGTAACCAATCATCTATCAGCCTATTTGACTATAACCAATCATCTATCAGCCTATTTAACAATAACCAATCATATATCAGTCTATTGACAATAACCAATCATATATCAGCCTATTTAACAATAACCAATCATCTATCAATCTATTGACAATAACCAATCATCTATCAGTCTATTTAACAATAACCAATCATCTATCAGTCTATTTAACAATAACCAATCATCTATCAGCCTATTTGACAATAACCAATCATCTATCAGCCTATTTAACAATAACCAATCATCTATTAGCCTATTTGACAGTAACCAATCATCTATCAGCCTATTTGACAATAACCAATCATCTATCAGCCTATTTAACAATAACCAATCATCTATCAGCCTATTGACAATAACCAATCATATATCAGCCTATTTAACAATAACCAATCATCTATCAGCCTATTGACAATAACCAATCATCTATCAGTCTATTTAACAATAACCAATCATCTATCAGCCTATTTAACAATAACCAATCATATATCAGTCTATTGACAATAACCAATCATATATCAGCCTATTTAACAATAACCAATCATCTATCAGCCTATTTGACAATAACTAATCATCTATCAGCCTATCTGACAATGACCAATCATCTATCAGCCTATTTGACAATAACCAATCATCTATCAGCCTATTTAACAATAACCAATCATCTATTAGCCTATTTGACAGTAACCAATCATCTATCAGCCTATTTGACAATAACCAATCATCTATCAGCCTATTTAACAATAACCAATCATATATCAGTCTATTGACAATAACCAATCATATATCAGCCTATTTAACAATAACCAATCATCTATCAATCTATTGACAATAACCAATCATCTATCAGCCTATTTAACAATAACCAATCATATATCAGTCTATTGACAATAACCAATCATCTATCAGCCTATTTAACAATAACCAATCATATATCAGTCTATTGACAATAACCAATCATCTATCAGCCTATTTAACAATAACCAATCATCTATCAGTCTATTGACAATAACCAATCATCTATTAGCCTATTTGACAATAACCAATCATCTATCAGCCTATTTAACAATAACCAATCATCTATCAGTCTATTGACAATAACCAATCATCTATCAGTCTATTTAACAATAACCAATCATCTATCAGCCTATTTGACAATAACTAATCATCTATCAGCCTATTTAACAATAACCAATCATCTATCAGTCTATTTGACAATAACTAATCATCTATCAGCCTATCTGACAATGACCAATCATCTATCAGCCTATTTGACAATAACTAATCATCTATCAGCCTATCTGACAATAACCAATCATCTATCAGCCTATTTGACAATAACTAATCATCTATCAGCCTATCTGACAATGACCAATCATCTATCAGCCTATTTGACAATAACCAATCATCTATCAGCCTATCTGACAATAACCAATCATCTATCAGCCTATTTGACAATAACTAATCATCTATCAGCCTTTTTGACAATAACCAATCATCTATCAGCCTATTTGACAATAACTAATCATCTATCAGCCTATCTGACAATGACCAACCATCATCACTTACCGACAGAAGAATTTCTTGTAAGCTGTATTGAATAAATCAGGAGCTTTTTTAACCAATAATTGTGCATGACATAATGATGTATATGCTAATTCTGAATTGCTACTTGTAACTAAGTTGAGCAGTGGTCCTGTCAAATGAGAAACACAAAGTTTCAATTATCATGCATACATCAGTCATCAAGAATAATCTGCAACTGACCTTTCCTGTGCAAATCACATCAATAAGTGATTTCCGTACAATTGCGAGATCTCGCGAGATGCATGAAAGACGCGCGTCAAACGTCTGCCGCATTGACCGGCCAATCTTCGACAGAGGAATATTGCTTCCGAATACCCTTACTTAATCGAAATTGCCTATCATCAAATGTGTACAGCACATTATTAAGCATGGAAATGTCCCCAAAATACTTTCGCGTTTGTCGAATCCCATGCGATGTTTGATGCCACTACGACGCTATGACTTTTGTTTGTCCTGTTTTTACGTTCGATTTCACGCATAACGTGTGATTCTCGCAGTGAACGGAAAATGGTCTATTAGCAATGATGTCAAAATCACATAGATAAGTGAAATCAAAGAGATAAATGCATTGCATACATGCAGTAGTAGTGATTGTTTTTCTATTATGAATGACAACAGATCAAAACAATGTTGATGTGTTTCATGCACCAATTTTCGTCAGGATATATGAGTGATACAAATAATTTTACTTCATGTTCACACCTCAAACTAAACACTGTAAACTGTTGAATTTTTGGCGATTTAACTTTTTCACCACCACAATTATTTTGCAAAATTTTTTTTCTGAACTTTTTTTTTATTCTTCAATATTTTTTAAAATGAACCCTAAATTTGGGTCACTTTTCAGTTTTTACTTGAAAAATTTGTCTATTTTTTTCCCAATCTTCTGAAGAATAATGCAAACTATTTTGTGAATTTGTGATGAAAAGAGGGAACTAGGGGTGAAAGGGGGTAATAACGGAATTCATGAGGACAACATTTCTAAAAGTAATTTTTTCACCAACAAACAATTTCCTGATTTTTACCGATTTGTGAAAATTTGTTTCTCTTGAATTAAAGAGGTTCACATTCAGTATATTGTTTATTACCTGTAACCTGCTTAAAGACTTGTAAATGTATATCTTCCATGTCTTTTGTTAAATGTAATAGTAGTTTGATTGCACTGCTGGATACTGCACTATTACGGTGTTTTAAGCAACCATCTATTAGATTCTATTAGCAAAACAATTACATAGTAATAATTACATTAGTATTTATCAATCCCGATTCATCTTATGTTCAACGATCAATGGCTAGCCATTTTATTTTCACTACGCATGTCTTCCATTTCCCACAACTGAGATCTTGTTACATAATTTATAATTGGAATGTCCAGTGTATTCTGTAGCCCAATGAGGCTGGTACTGACACCATTACTACATAGTACACAACTTTACAAGAAGGCAGCAATCACCAAAGTTCAGCTGGATTTTCTGAACTCTATTGTCTGTGAATGTTTTTGAAAGTAAACTTCACTTATATCAATTGCGGGCATGAAATAAAAATATTCAAGCCCAAATATGGTCATTTGAGCAAAAAAAAAGACATAGCATCATATAGCACAAAAGCCAACACCATATTTGCATAATTACAAGCGAATAAAAAATGTTGCTTAGTTTGACTATATACACACATTGCCATGCATACATGTGCGACAAATAGAATATGGTATTTTTATTTCTATATAGCCATCTCTGCAGCCTAATAGCCTTACCATAATGTCAAATGCCTCATCTTGTGTTGGCTCATATTTTAGCAATAAATCCAATATTTTGCTTCGTCCCCATTCAGTAAATTCAGATAATCTGAAAAAAAAATTTTCTTCAATTGAATGTTGTTACAGTATTAATTCTTTACTTCAGCCACAGTACTCAAATTACTATAATCATGGAGCTCAATTATTCACATTTTTCCACTTGTTATTATGGTCTAGAGCAGCAACAGTATGAATCAGAAGACAGAAAATCACAAAACATTGAATTGAAAGGTTATCAGGAATATACCATTCCTTAGCGACCAATTGCTTCTGCAACGTAAATGGATGTTATTGACACTGTTCACCTCACAGCATCCTTAATGTTTAGATCTGTGATCATTGTCATTAGAAGTACTGTTTTATTAGAGATTTACTACACAAAGAAAGAGTTTTCTACTTGTTGCCATTGTATACTCCCATTTTGACAACACAGAAACATTTCGTCATTAGCGAGTGCGAGTTCTTTTAAGAGTAATTAACATACCTATTAAGAAGATAATGAGCAATATTTTTGTTGATAACAATACCGCCATCTGGTTGTAATATTTCATCCAATACAGATAAACAATTGGTGACAACTATGGTGTCTGAGTCACGTAGCATATTATACAGTTTATCAACAACATTATGTCCTGAAATAGAAACAAGCTGTTGTATTACACATACAGTCCTTATGAATTGTCAAACATCAAACAGAACACTAACCAATTTTTTTGATGAATTGGTAAAGTGGTTGAGCAAATACAGAAAATATGTGGAAAGAAATACTAGTATACCGTAGTCTTAAGTCCATCAGTATTACTGTAAAGTATTGAATTTTCACATAAAATGTATTTTCGCTGAAGGGATGAAAATAATTTTTTTCCCTATGCTTTACATTCAACTCACCAAAAACAGTGAAAATAAACTTCCCACAAAACAGTCAAAATGTCTTTTCAGTGAAAATTAATACTGTAAAATACTTTATTTTCGCTTGGAATTAATTTTCGCTATTTTTCGCCGAAGGAGTGATTCAGTAAAAATAAAATCCAGCGAATTTACCTTTTCCCCCATATTTTACATTCAACTCACGAAAAATCAGTGAAAATAAATTCCACACAAAATACCTAAAAAGTCTTTTCAGCGAAAATTAATTCCAGTGAAAATAAATTATTTCACAGTACATAGCTAAAATAAAGTATTTTACAGTACATTGTATGTTATTGAGTGCATGAGTTCATACCTTTATGATGAATATGCATAACACAGAGGGTTTCGCCAATGACTATAAGGCATGTTGAGCTCAGCTTCACCTTTGTTGACAACTCACTTCAAAGGGTTTATGAGTGAATAACTATCGATACATGAAATACATACCTGTAATTATATTTGGTGCAATATTCCATATTTTAAGACAGCCAATGACAGCAACTCTTCTCACATATGCACTGCTATCCTCTAATCCCGTTAATAAACACTGTTCTGTATATTCTACTAACATGGGTAATCTGGTAAATTTATTTTAAAACAGTCATGAGACATTTACCGTTGGTGTTGTATACAAAAGTATAACAGCAGGAATGTATAAGTAGGTGTTTTGTGGAGATTTTCTTATTGAAATTTCTCTGGATGTTGTAAAATTAGAACAACCTACTTTGTTTTCAAAATATTGTCAAGATACTAGTAGACTTTGTCTACAGTACCAACCGACTATAAACGAAAGTCTGCATGTAATCAACAATATTTTGAAACAAAGGGTAGGTAATCAGTTTAATTAATATTCAGAGCAATCTCAAAAAAACAAAACTTTGGCAAAACTTTGGTGGTTTGCATTGTGAATTTTGTAACAAATTTGAATGTAATCGATCATGCTTGAAAAATAGAACCTGATATAGTTCTAATAAAAGTTCTATCACAATTAGATTTAAAATCAGCAAGTTACCTGATTGAAGTCATAGTTCGTAAGGCTAATCCTCTGATCATTGGATTAGGATCACTGCAATCCTTACGTAATGTATTAACTGCCAGCAAAGCTAAGTCAGATTTCAGTTCCGCATAGGTAGACATGTATAGATAGACCAGTTTCTTCTGCACAATGTCACTGGTAGCAGCAGTCTGCCAAGTACAAGTGAAACTAAAAGCAAATATCCTGAATTCTGCCAAATTAATAGCATGATGTGTCACAGGACTACTTATCAATTCCCAAAAGTTACATGTAACAGTGCAAAGAACAGTTAAAATGGATAAACAACTGTAAATTTAATGTAACCCGGATATTCACAGACAATCCATAGCTTCTGCACACCTGGCATCTTAATTGACATTTTTATTAAAGTTTTCAAAAGCATTTGACTTTCAGTCTGTGAACACCACCTTTTTTCCAAAAATCTTAGCAGTTCATCAGTTTTTTTGCTGAATGTGAAATCGAACAAAACACCTAAAATGTAGAACAATAGCTAACTATGAAGGCAATATGATCCTCTAATAATCATAGTACTGTATTTGCTCTATCAATATTACATGCACTACTATTGGTGATCTATTTACCATATTTAACTCATACAAACATACTGGGGGAGGTTAAAGGTTACAAAAGAAAATCATGAATACAAACTAATCAAATTACAATGGCTAAGAGTTTAAGGAAAAACCAAAAGCAGACGAAAAAAAAAAAATAACAAAAAATTAAAAAAAATAAAAATAAAATAAAATTCCTTTCATATTTGAGTGACATATACATTCAAAGCAGATCATGACCGAAATCTCAGACCACTTTCAGTGGTCTGATCCGAAATGCACCTGCATATGTACAACACATTGTATGATGTGTGTGAAGTGTGGTCTTGATCAGTTCAGGCATGCCTGAGATGTGGATCGAAAACTAAATTCTTTAAAACAAAATGGCCGCCAGTCGGCCATTTTGAACTTGATCCGAAGAAAAATTGGTGTGCATCAAGCTTATATTATGTTTAATATATGCACTAAATCTGAACAAAATCCATCCATGCATGACTGAGATCCAGTTCCGGAATTGTGAAAATACGTGATTTTGATGCATTTTCGGCCTTAAAATGGCCATCATTCATCTATTGTTAAGCGAATCATGAAACAAATGCACATATTCATTTGTGACATGATGTACCATGTGTGTGTGAAGTTTTGAACTTGATCAATCCAGACATGTCTCGGATACGAACAGTGGTCTGATCCGAAATGCACCTGCATATGTACAACACATTGTATGATGTGTGTGAAGTGTGGTCTTGATCAGTTCAGGCATGCCTGAGATATGGATCAAAAACTAAATTCTTTAAAACAAAATGGCCGCCGGTCGGCCATTTCAAACCCGATCCAAAAAAAAAAATGACGTGCATCAAGGTTCTATTATGTTTAATGTATGTATCAAATTTGAACAAAAACTGTCCATGCACAACTGAGATCCGGGTCCGGAATGGTGAAAATGTGCGATTTTGATGCATTTTCGGCCTTAAAATGGCGGCTATTCGGCTATCGTTAATCGGATCATGAAAAAAATGCATGTGCATATGTCCCATATAATGTGTGATGTATGAGTGAAGTTTGAACTTAATCGGTACATGCATGTTCAAGATACAGGTGATCACGGACGCACGGACGCACACAGGGCACACACGGGGACTAATAAAGTATTCTACAGTACTATAAGCAGAATATTAAAAAACAAAAACAATGAACACATAATAAGTCAAGGACTAAGTAAGTGCTGCTGTCTAATAACAAAGGTAATGTGATTGTAATAATTAAATACAGTAATATCACTACCAACCTTTATTATATGTGTAAACAGTTCAGACATATCAAATCCTTGTGTCATTAATGCTATTATTCTCTGTAGTAGTAGTCTACATTGTGTTGGGTCAGACTGAACAGAAGGACTACTCAGCTTCATTCTATAAAACACAATCATTTCAGGAAGTCAATGTACATTACATTCTCACTTTCAAACTGTCAATTACTGTAAATGCATTAATTATTAATTGGTATCTTGTAAAGATACTTTGGGATTCATATTTCCACAGACAAATTTGTGAATATGATCAAATATCAAAATAATGCAACAGAAAATGCTTTTTCAAACCTAAGAAATTCCCCAGACCTATTGGACCACCTGGGATTGTACCACAGACCTAAGAAATCCCCTAGGGTTATACCACAGACCTATGGTATCTCCTTGGGTTATACCACAGATCTATGGAATACCCCAAAATAAGACCACAGACTTAAGGAATCCCCTTAGGTTTTACCACAGACTCATGGGATCCCCCAGTTATACCTCAGATATATGGTACCCCATTGGGTTATACCACAGACCTAGGGGATAACCCAGGATTAGACCATAGACTTAAGGGATCCTCTTGGATTATACCACAGACCTATGGGATCCCTTTGGGTTATACCACAGACCTATGGGATCCCCTTGGATTATACCACAGACCTATGGGATCCCCTT